TGGACCCCTAGAGGAAGTGAGATCACGTTTATGTCAAAATAATATTATTTGTTTATTATTATTATGCAATTTACATGCGGTTGTGTTCGAAAGCTACTCATCTTGGATGTAAAATGTCACTAGATGTTTTATTTATTGATATATACTCGAAAAATAATTCTTTTCACATCATGATATTCACATATTTTGGACCCTTCCACTTGATTTTGGACAGTGTCCATAATATATTTTGGACACACTGAATGGGAACGAATATATTTTGGACATGCTAAAGTTCTTTCAACCTATGAGCCTAAAATTAATTACGACGGTCACTTCTTCCTATCTCGCATTTGTTAGGTCCGGTGGGAAAATTTTCAAAGAAGGTGCCGTAAAACGGGGTGAAATTGATCAGCGGGGTGAATTTGATCGCTGAGTATACCCAATATTGTACTTATGCATAATATTTTTACAATGCATACAAAGATACATTCGTACGCTTAGTAACGAAAAACATGTTACACATGAAAAAATATCACCAGAAATTTCAGCGATCAATTTTGCACCCCGTTTTACGGTATGCATAAAAGTTAACCCCCCGTTACTCGCGCTGTTGTACTTTGTACAACACATATGAGTTTTCCATTGCCATTTTGTTGCTGCCAATCGATCTGAAACCAACTTGTATTCCTCAAAAAACTTGTTTTGAACTAAAAAAGCTAAACTTTGATTACAATTAACCCCCAAAATGCGGATAATAGAGAAAATGTAAATGGAAACCGCGTAAACGGTGTCCATACTACGTTGGTTACAACATGGAATATCTCGAGATCCTGACCAGATAGAAAGTTACTGTCTTCGGCAAAGTTGTTCAGGAGGTCAAAGCCTATTTCTTAGTGTACAATAGTTCAGAATTATCTCACTTCGTGGTGCTAGTATACATGTGAAATTCTCGTGTATAAAATATCTCTAGATCCTGACCAGATAGAAAGTAAATGCCTTCAGCAAAGTTGTTCAGGAAGTCAAGCTCTTTTCGTTGGTTGAGTAGTTCAGAAATTTCACACTACGAGGCACTAGTATATACGTATAATTTTTGCATATACAATAGCTCGAGTTCTTGACCAGCTAGAAAGTTACTGTATTGAGCAAACTTGTTCAGGGGGTCAAAACTTTTCGACTGGTAGACAGTAGTTCGGAATTTTCTCACCACGTGGCGTTTGTATACATATACACTTCTCGCACATGATATATCTCGAGATCCTGACCAAATAGAAAGTTACTGTCTTTGAAAAAGTTGTTCAGGAGGTCAAAGCCTATTGCTTGGTGTAGAATAGTTCAGAATTTTCTCACTATGTAGTTCTAGTATACACGTTAAATTCTCCCATATAAAATATCTAGAGAGCATGACAAGATAGAATGTTACTGTCTTGGGCAAAGTTGTTCAGGTGATCAAGGCCTTTTGGCTAGTGGACGGTAGTTCAGAATATTTCACTTCATGGTACTAGTATATACGTGCAATTCTCGCATATGATATATCTCAAGACCTGCTAAAAATGTACTGTAATCGGCAAAGTTGTCCAGGCGATCAAACCCTATCGTTGGTGGAAAGTACATAATTTTCTCACTAGGTGACGTTGAAAGACACGTGAAATCCTTGCATATAAAATATCTCTGAATGACCGACATACTAGTGCCACGTAAAGGGAAAATTCTGAATTACTGTACACCAACGAAAAGATCCTAACATCCTGAACAACTTTGCCGAAGACAGTAACTTTCTGTCTGGTCAGGATCTAGAGATATTTTATATGCGAGAATTCCTCATGTATACTAGCGTTGCAAAGTGAGAAAACTCTGAACTTAAGTCCACCAGCAAAAAGGCCTTGACTTCCTGAACAACTTTGCCGAAGACAGTAACTTTTTATATGATCAGGATTTCGAGATATTTTATATGAGAATTTCACGTATATACTAGCACCATATAGTGAAAAAATTCTGAACTATAGGCTTTGAACTCCTGAACAACTTTTTCGAAGACAATAACTTTCTATCTGGTCATGATTTCGAGATATATCACATGCGAGAACTTCACATGTATACTAGCGCTATGTAGTGAGTAAATTTTGAACTACTGTCCACCAGCAAAAAGGTTATGATCTCTAGAACTACTTTGGCAAAGACAGTAACTTTCTATCTGGTCAGGATCTCGAGATATTCCATGTAGTAACCAATTAAGTCAGAACCCTCGTAGTATGGACACCATTTACGCGGTTTCCATTTACATTTTCTCTATTATCCGCATATTTTGGGGGTTAACTGTAATAAATATTTAGCTTGTTTAGTTAAAAGCAAGTTTTTTGAGGAATATTCGTTGATTTCAGATCGATTGGTAGCTCGGCTGCAAAATGGAAATGGAAAACTCACACTGTTGTACAAAGTACAACGCGTGAGTGCACGTGTTACAAAAGTTGACGCGAGTAACGGAGGAAATATAATATAACATAAGGAAACAACTGATCATACCATAAAAAAATCATTCAGAAGTAAATCTTAATACGGAGACCTGACTTTATGCTTGCAGTCCATATTATTTTTTGTATGGGCTGTTCATAAACTACGTAGACGGTTTTTGAGAGATTTCAACCTCCCTTCCGTAGAAGACAGTCTCAAACACAAAATTTAAAAAATTGTATGGACCGTAGACATCTGCCAAGCGCTCCCACCCCCTAAAGCGTCTACGTAGTTTATGAACAGCCCCTTAGTTAAATGCGTTTGGGAGATAGGAAAACTTTTGTGGAAAACTAGGAACTAGGAAAACTAGGAAAACTCGGAGTGGACCACTCTACGTGTTTTGCCGTTTTTCCCATTTTGAATCGCCTGATAAACAGGAAACATATTTAAAAACAATGAATTCATATAATTTTGATTGATTTATTACCAATTTAATCAGAAATCTGAGATAATAGCACGATCGACCAACCGGAATTTTTTTTTTGTCGCTCTTTTTATGATTCTCATTTGATAAGTGTCCAAAATAAGTTGGTAACATTTTTTTGCGATCTTTTTTGGACACTTTTTATTTAATACTTTTTAAGTAAAATCTTAAGGTGAAATCTTTATAAACACGTGAAATACATCTTCCAAAGTCAGATAAACTGATTTGATAAAAACAAATCATTGAATTGTATATTTTAGACCAAATTTAAAACAAGTACACTAACGCCGATTCCTCTTGACAAACGTCGAAACATGAAACTTTGTCGATAACATTTTCTAAAACTGCTTAAATTGAGCAATTGTAAGCAATTTGAGGTGAACTAATGATCTTGAGACATAGCAAGTAATTGAAAGAATGTAATTACAACATCAACCCAGATGTATTTGAAGAAACTAGACAGTAAGCGAGGAAAATATATGAAAAGGGTCCAAAATATGTAGGGGTCCAATTCAAGTTGGTTACCCTATACTAATATTCTAAAAGAATAAAATTTAATACTGAAAAGATAAATTTTTATCCCCAGTGATTATTTTGAATTTAATCATGGATGACTATTGCCGAAGTAAACATGGCTCGGACGCAATAAGATGAACCGGGAATTTGCATACTTTTTAAGCTTTTTTTGATTTAATTTATGTTTGAGTATAAGGATAAATTTAACAACAACTGAAAATGACATGTGTTCCAAAGTCAGGATTTCAGGAACGAAAATTCACTTATGGATTCATGAGTCACGAAATAATGATTTTATTTTGTGTTATTTGTTACGAAATCGTTGGAACACGCGTCCAAACCATTTATGGAACAGTTCTATCATTTAGGTAATCGTTCAGGTATGGTATTTTTTTATTAGGGAATTCATGAATTCAAATAAACTAGTAGTTCAGGTCATCGTGATTGTTTGTTCACGAATACAGGAATTCTTAATTTGAAATGCAAGTGAAGGGTAGGTAATTATCAAAAAAGCAAAATCACAAAAAAAAGGATTAGAGCAAAAATAAATTGACAGATATAGGGTAGAGCGCTACTTCGTCGTAATCGTCCATTTCCGTTCTATTGAGCAGAAAACATCAGTAATATCAATGATTTCACCGTTCACAAATCATTAATACGTTTGTACCGAAGCGTTAGTTCATAAGCTACAACATAAAGCCTATTAGAACGCATTGTATGAATATTTATACTCATTGTTCTCAAAACAAGAGAAGACGTGCCTAGCGAACCCACTTTTTCTACCTTCATCCGTAGGACGAATAAAATCCAATGGCATTTCAATGTTTCAGCCATTCAAAAATATCTCAACAATGTGTGGCTCTTTATCAAATCCAACGGTACGTATGGAAAGGGGAATGCATTTAGAAGTCATCTTTCATATAAACATTTCATTTATTGTTAAACCCCTTTAAAAAAAGGTAAAGCGTGGGTTGTGCTTAATAGGACGGAAATTAGATCCGAAACCCTAAGGAAAAAAGTTCACTCAGTGGATTAAGTATGAAGCCAAGTTACGATTCTCCAAAGTTGGCTACATTTGGCTCACATGATCTGCAGCGTGATAAACATAGTAGTTTTGGACGGGCCTGCTGTAATATTTTTGGAATCGTTTCTTTTTTTCAGGACCCGATTTTGATGTGTACATTCTTTAACTTAACATCCATATGTTCCGCTCGAGGACATTTGTTACGTCAATACGATAGATAACGGAAGGTAAACATATAACACATCGATTTGTTTTTTGAGAGGTTCTCCGACACGAAGTGTGATAGTGGATTAGCAACCTACGTCACCACCACTAAATAAATCCCTGGATAAGTCTTCGGGTCTTCGGTCACCACATGATGATGATGATGATGATGATTATACCTTGTTCTTGCTACCACAATAACCACCTATATGTGTTTGTAGGATGTACGTACATGCTAAGGAACATAAAAATTATGTTCCTTGAACTTTGCTTTTTACGTCTTTATCTTATGATTCGGCACATTTTGTGAGAAGATATTTGAAAACTTTCCAATATACTTACCACAGTGAGCAAGATCGATGATCGGTATTTGGCTGGTAGATAGCAGCGTATCCACCTTTTCTTCACCCGATTTTGTCTTCAACATTTTGGTTCTGATAAATGCTTAACTTTCTTGCTCTTAAGGTCAAGATTTGACTGACACTAAGGGCACTACTCCCTTAAGGAACGACACTAGTTTTCTACACTCCAAAAACTGAAAACTTCACCACAGAGGATCACAGAAACTTTTTCTCGTTTCGCTTTCCTTATATGTCAGGTTCAGTACGCTCTTTCAGAGGCAAAAGATTTTACCTATTCGGTATGCTTATTTTCCGCGTTTTGGTTGCTTTTATGCTTTTCGTGCTTGTTTCCACCGTGTTGTGGATTTATTATTGCTTGTATCTCTTTCGCGCCTCCCTTTGCTCGGACGGTTGTTGGACTAGTTCACTCCTCCTCGGGTACGGTTTGGTTGAGGAGGGAATCACACGCAAACCATGTGAGTATGATGGTATAATTTTCTGTTGTGTTTTGGTCTTCACTGGTTTTCCGATGGTACCAATACTACCAATGACACTTTCGAGGGCAACTCTGCTTCTTCTGCTGTTTGTCGATCGACGAGTTGAAAGTACTTTCCATTTGAACACTGTGCAAAAAATGCTGCCTTTGAGCTGTTATGTACTTCCCCGGAAGTTACCCAACTCAACCCCTGACAGCAGATACAAAATTGCAACCGCTCCGCAAAAATCAATTAACACACACGTTCGGAAAAATCGACACTTGTTAATTTTTGACAAAAACCACACCGCTTATACGGCCACTCTTTCACTGATCACCTGGCTGGTTCGGAAATGATCTATCACAACACTCCCGAAAACTCCTACACGACCTGCCTGTACACACGACTGTACACTTCAGCAAGGAACGATCGACTGAAAATCGCTTCGCGTTTTTCCACTCTATCCGCCTGAATTGTGTAAAACCGTTTTGTGTATGATTCGCACTCTCCCCCCGTCTGTGTCTGTAAGGCTGCAGTTGTGTGTGCGAAGAGCTCAAGTAACTGGTCTCTGTCGTCGGCCTGACAGCGTGACACTTTAGCCTTAATTCAGTGGTAATCCTCCGTTTCCACAAAACTCGCTCTTATCTTGGCCTTTTTTATAATCTTCACAGCTCGCAGAGTCACATTTGTTGATAACAAACACCGATGGCACTGCTTGTGGAAGACAACATCAGGATATGATATCTAACGCCAGCAGTGACGATGAAGGGAATACGTCTCTTGCGGACTGGAGTGGACCTTGAAGCGCCGAGATCCAGCAATACGTCTCAATTTTGAATGATCCACAATGTCTTTTGGTTCGAATTAGCACCTTAACAAAGATATGCTAAAGAAGATATATTCTTCTAATTAATTGCTGCACGCCTAATTGCACGAATTTTCGGTAGAATAATTAGTCCGCGTGCAAGTAACCGCGACCAATCCAATAAGTTCGAGTGTTATATCGGCAATGATACTGCTACTACTAGTACAACAACGAACGAACTGCGAGAGGGTTGGCTATATATTAAGTACGCTATGTATGCGATAGCGCGGCGCCTCTAGTTAGGCGCGCGTGCGCACACACACACACACTCATACAGTGGCGCACATTTCCGCTAATGCAGCATCATATTTATGTCTCTATGCTGCCTTTTGACCCACGTGTAGCATAGTTTGGCATTTTGGTAAAGATACAAACCATTATGCTCGCTCGAATATGAGATGCCTGCGCGATGCATGATGGGTTGCGGATTCACCGCTGCAATACCTACTATACCGTGGACCCCCGCTAATCTGAACGACTTTTCATTTTTAATTTGCACTTCTAGTAACCCTATGCCTATCAGCATCAGAAATGCATGTTTCGGGTAGCCTTATTTGCTGTTTTGTTTTGATTCTGCGATCCGTTTCGCAATGCTCCATTTTGCTTTCCTCTATTCCAGATGCTGAATGACGTTAGAGCCATTTTCAGTTTACACGACGTGCATATTACCGCGGTTCTAATTAAAAACATTCAGATTACCGAGGTTCCACGGTACTGGGAATAAGCGCTCTTGTACAGAAGCATGATGCTTCAAGGGTTTCCCACATCAAATTACATCACGGAAAAACGCTGTAGAAAATTATCTAGTTGACCGATCCTTTTCAAACTTTCAGACGATAAAAAACCCATTAGTAAGTTTTTGGCATATTTATTTCATTCAACTTCAATACCATAACCGTACGCTCGCACCTTACGCTTAACTCCACTCATTTGGTACTGAACAACATCTGGCTGCAGCTTCTTCAGTACGGAAACCCACTATTTCATCATGTCTTCCTCAGATTTAACCTCCTTGGGATGCTTCCATAGTGCCTGCTTCATAATAGCCCAGTGTTTTTCGATGGGCCTTAGTTTCAGTGCGTTAGGGAGGTTCATGTCCTTGAGTACGAAAGTGACCCCGTTGGCTTCGTACCACTCCAGGGCAACATTTGAATAGTGGCACGAAGCTAGATCCAGCCAGAAGATCGTAAGGCCCTCGTGTTACTTCAACAGAGGAAGCAGACGCTTCTGTAGACGCTCCTTGAGATAGATCTCCCCGTTTACAGTCCCGGTAGTCACGAATGGCGCACTCCGTTTCCCAAGTAACATTTTTTGTTTTATGAGGGTTCTGTAGATCATGATTTGGACTTGTCGAATGCTATAAAACCTCGATAAACCTGCAATGTTACTTGGGTTGCCACATGAGCAGATTGCTTGCCAAATCATGTATTTCTTGGCAAACTTTGAAAGTTTTTGATTCCTTACTTCCTCCGTAACATCAAACTTGTCCTGGGCCGTGAAGAACAGTAGCCCCGGAAGCTGCCGGAAGTCCACCTTGACGTAAGTCTCATCATCCATGATGGGACAATGAGGCTTCGTCAGCATCTGGGTGTACAGTTTCCCACCGTTTTTTGCCGTTCGTCTTGATTTGGAGCCTTCCCAACAAACAATTGAGAGCTCTTATAAAACACCTGAGTTGATCAAACGTTGAATAATAGCTTCCAGAGTTGTACAAGAATGTAGTTGTATTGCCATTTGGTTAAAAGCTTCAAAAGCTGCTTGGAGCACTCTTAAATGATTGTTTACGTTCGACCAACCACCAACTACAATTTTGTTGCTAAAAATAGCACAAGTGATAGGCACGTTTATATGACCATAAGGCAATGATTATTCGACTGCAAGAGAAGTCACTCAAGATGAGCTTCATATACTTCTCTCATATGATCAAAATATGTATTCAAGAATAGAGCAGATGGAAACAGAAGCGGCTGGCAATCCGGGATCATGAGTTCGAATCTTGCTTCGAGAAACCCTCGGTGGAGTAGAGGTAAATTATATATAGGTTCAAAGTGTTTTGTTACTTCATACGCGAAGTTAACGATTTTCAGAGTTGGTTGGAAATGCTAACATGAAGCTTTAGTGTGATGATTTATTAGCTAGAGAATGATCTTTAGAAGAGGGTAGGTGGATAGTTCCGTGCATTATAACACACCATCGACTGGAAATGCTCTCGCAACGTGGGGCTTTAGGTAGTGATGAAAACGTCGCTAGAACTATTCCACAGCCGCAGTCAGTTTATGAGCAAAAAGAGGGACGCACATTTTTGCCTGTGGACTTGGAGACATACTTCAAGTCCCCGCGTACCTCGTACGGGTTAGGCAAAAATGTGCGTCTATCTTGAAAAACTGTCGCATGAATGGCCCTTCGCTCATTTTCAACTTCTATTCAATCTTCATACTGCCGTACTCTAACGGAACTATCCACCTACCCTCTTCTAAAGATCATTCTCTAGCTAATAAATCATCACACTAAAGCTTCATGTTAGCATTTCCAACCAACTCTATGTATAGGTGTTATTAATAAATGCAAACATTAATTTAAGACATATATCATATAATCAACGATAACATTTCTAGATAAATTCTCTCAATTAATGATTAGAGAGATTAATTGAAAGAATATCAATCAAAGATTAAACAGATGCTTGTTACTACTTCCTCCATGATCACAGAATGTGAATTATGGCATAATTACATATTTTTTCAATGTGCACAAATAAATTAAATTAATAAAAACTGTACAAGCAATTATTTTGGCGTACCACGACAATTGTTAAACTAATTTTAATCTATGAATATTGTGAGTACTTACACAATGAATATTGTGAGTACTTACACAAGTCATTAAAAAGTGCTATAAACGCTTTTCACCGCTTGCTGTATAGTGATTATTTAGGAGTCATAAAAGAGTGTAACAAACGCCTCTCAGGTTTCCTCTCTACTAAATTTCAAAGCAACTGTCAGGAAGTGTCTACAAACGTTGTATAAGAGCTTTCACCAAAACAATAAAGCTTGAGTTTAAATATGTATTTATAAACGTTGTATAAAAGTTGCTTCTACTCCTATACCGCGTATACATATAATGCTGTAGTTGAACAGGTTCTCCAAACCAGTGTAAACAAGAGTTTTACAGAAGTTGTAATAAACAAATTGTACAGTTATTATTCAGCATGCAGTTGAATAAAATCACAATGGAAGCGTTTCTTCAACAAGAAATTGATTTTGGGTAAACGTTTTACTGAATACGTTAGACAACACCTTTGTGTTGCAGTTGTATAGGTTCTCCAAACCAGTGTAAACAAGGGTTCTATAAAAGTTGTGGTGAACACATTGTGCAATTATTATTCAACATGCAGCTGAACAAAATCAAAACGAAAGCGTTTCTTCAACTGGAAATTGTTACTTGGGTTCTACACTTTTTACGTATGCAGTCCCTTCCGGTCCTTGGCTCTCTGAACGAAAGACTTGGACAGGTTCAACTTTTTGGCCATATTCCTGACCGAAGCAATGGAATTCCACATAAACGCTTGCACGACACGCTTGTGATTCTGATCACTAATAGAACATCCATTCTGACCGCATTTCTATTTCCGTTCGATGCTCAGAGTTTCATAGTAACGCTTAATCACACGACTCACCGTTGACTGCATTCCGAGTTGCTTTCCGATGTCCCGATGAGAGAATTGAGGATTTTCCAGGTGCTTGCGCAAAATCAATTCGCGACGTTGCTTTTCGGGTGACGCCATTTTTTCCAACTTTCGAAAAACTGACAGCGATAAAAATACAGTGTAAGCAATACACTCTAAATTACTTCTACCCAAAGTTCCAAGAGAAAATATCCAATGGGTAATTTTCTACCTGGATAGGCTTCGATGGGTACAAAGTTTAAAAGGGTTCTTACAACCTTGGATACTTGACGGGTAATCCCTCCACCCTGGATATTTTCCTGTCGAACATCGGACTATCCAAGCCGGAGACGCACAACGATCTCAGCTCCGACCACCAACCGGTGGTGACTGAAGTCGGTGTCAACGTGGTTCCTACTAGAAGCTGCATGCGAAAAGACTACCACCATATGTCAACTGGGCGCAGTTCGGACGAATGGTGCACAGCAACATCGAAGAAAATCCACCATTCGACACCGTAGATGACATCGACCGGGCGTTGAAGGACTCCAACAGGCCATATCCGTGGCTGACGAGGCATGTGTTCGACAAGTTCCTGTGAGGGGTAAGTTTGTTGCTATTGATTCCCACATCCAATTACTGATTGGGTTGAGAAATGTTCGTAGACGCCAGTTTCAGAGGACTGAAGATCTGGACAAAAAACGTGAAATGGAAGATTGCTTCCAGAATGGACTCACTCCGGAATGAAAGTTTCGGGGGTGTTGTCCAGAATCTGGACAACCGCTCCAGACCATTCTGGAAGGTAGCCAAGGTCCTGAAAACTCATCCCAAACTCGTTCCGCCTCTCAGAGACGGATATGATGACGATCGGCTCATAGTGGGGTGTTTCCATCTGTGCGGATTGGCTAGCGCTAGTGTACTAGCAAACTAGCACGAATTTCAGTTGCTCGCTGATACCCTGTTTACATTATGCTGGCTACTTTTTTGCACAGTGTTAAAACACCATCGCTAGAAAATCCGCACAGATATAAACACCACATTATCATCCCACAGGAGAAAGAAAATGCAATCGGCAAGCATGTTGCTTCATTGATGATCTTGATGGTTGCGCAATGCATTCAAAACCTAGATGCCTCCCCTTGTGTCGTGCCTCCGGCGGATAAGATAACACTATACAACAGATTTGCTCAGCGCTGAAATGCACCAAGAACATCAAGGCTCCCGGGTTTGGCGGTATACTCAACTTGATCATGA